ACGGGCATAGAAGTGTTGGAGGTGTGGGCAGTTGCTCCGTCCTGTTGAAACCAGGTCTGCGTATTATAGCCTGGAAAATTCTGCAACGCTGGTGTCAAAAACTCTTCTATCATTGCTACATACCGCTCCGAAGTAACAGTTAATGCGCGACCTCTGTCGTCCTCAAAAAAATAAGGGCCTACGATGCCATGCGCTGACATAGCAGCCCAAACTGTAACTTTAGGGCTGTGTAAGGGCTTCTGATGCTTACGCCTTGGATTTTCGGGGCTCCAATAACGGCAATTTTGTTTATTTACATGCCCGTTTAAATGGAAGTGAGCCTCGTCCGAGAACAACACATTTTTGAGCGAAGAAAATCGATTCAACATTTCATTCGCAAAGTTTAGTCTCTGAATAGCGTCATTATCTTTTAATTCCTGCACTAACTGAATTTTGTAAGCGTGCAGACGTAAATCTTTCCTTAAAATCCGCTGTAAAGATGTTCTGGGTACGTTTAGTGCACTGGAACGCTTACGAGTAGACTGGGTAGGATTTTGACGAACAGACTGTGCCACAATGTTGATGTTTTCTTCAATACGAGTTGTACTTGGTCGACCCCACCGCTGTTTATCTAACGTCGAACCAGTCTCTTCGAACTTAGCAACCCAGTTCTTAATCGTTTGAGCTGTTGGACACTTTGTAAAATTGTGTAAATTGTGGTATTCTCGATATTTACGCCGCGCAATGGTTGCCGAATCATTATTTTGATAAAACGCGCGCACACAAAAAGCACGATCCGCTCCAGTGAAACACTCCATGGCGACTGAATTCCCAGACACTGAAGATACTGCCCCCACCTCGCCCGCGCCGCTCACGCTCACCCGTTAAATTTTATTCAAATTTGAAATTTCAAAGGACTTATGGACCACCCTGTATAATATATATAGTTAGGAGACAGTTATCTTTGAGACACAGTCTTATGTCTCATCGATTCTTTTATACAGTTTAACTTATTATCACCATCACTAATCACCTTTAAAGCATTCATGAAATGTGCTATTCCACTTCCGATGATATGCTGCTAGAATGATCGGTTTTTAGTCATCGAGATATAATACAAAAGGAGACGCTATTGTCATATAAATCATGCTATCGATAAAGGGACCGGGGGGTGGAGCTTAGTTGCTTAACAATATGGCGGATTTGCCAGGATCGTATCTGTTTTTAATGTATGTATTTGATTGCATTTATGCTATATGTAAATGATATAATTTGCTACACTTATGTATTTAGAAAAAAATCTATTTAATATACAGTGTGTCCACTTACTTCAACATTTGTGTTTTTCGACCGATTTTCTTAAACTTTTTTTTGTTGGATGGTCAAAAATGTCAGTTTGCGGATATTCAGAAAATGTGAGACATGACCCAATAATGTATTCAAGTTTTAAGAGCGAAGAATCAAGAATTACTATAAGCGATATTTGAAAAAAATTACACCGGTTTATTATTCAGGACCACCTAAAACATATGTTCACCAAATTTGGTTGTGGCAGTATACTGTCAGTTGGAGTCAAATTTTTAGAGGTGCAATAGATTTCCTGATTAACTACGAGTTTTTTAAAATATTTTTTCTTATGGCATTTCTTTCTCAAGATTCATACATCGCATCTTTTGAAAACGAAACTTGGTAAACATATGTTGTTAAGTGGTACTGAACAATAATCCGGTGTAATTTTTTTCAAATATCACTAATTGTACTTCTCGACTTTTGGCACGTGAAAATTGAATACAGACCGGGAAGAAATTACATTTTTTTGTTGTTGAAAATATTAGGCCTAATAAAATCTATTAGATGCATGTTTATTATCCAAATATTTTTACGTAATTTAGTTTTTGCGTGCCTACATAAATATAAATCAGGTTTAGAAATAATCTTTATTACATAAATACATAGATTACAGATTAATTGATTACTGCCCTCTAAATAATACAAGCTTATTGCTAGGATGTCTTATACTAACTGCTTGTTTCTGTAGAAGGAATGAGTCGAAATTAGGTCTTAATACTGTATTTGATAGTACTAGTATCTTGGCAGGTGGTGATTCTTCCTAAAATAAAACATTAACACTCATTACTTCTAGACATTTATGAAACCTAGAATTTACATTAAAACATGCATTTAAGATGACATTATATCAAGGAAAACTACACAAAGGACAAAAAACATAATGACTGTTTTGAATTAAGTATACAGAACATTTTAGGAAACAAACATGATTTTATTAACATACCTACCTGGTTTGGAAGTATCGTCGGAACAGCATTTGGTTTGAGATTAACATAACATTTTGATGTACTATCGAATGACTCCTCAGAAAAATGTTTCGAGCAAATAACACTAGATCTTGTAGGTGTCTATTCACCCCTATTAACAAATTTCACTCAAAGTTGGCAACGGTCAGCGTTTTTAGGCAATCTACAATTAATCAATATATTCAAAATAAAAATATTAGATGGCTCAACTCATGGAAATAAGTTTTCTTTAAGAAAATCAAGCACCTTGACATGCATTTTATGAAAATAATACAATCTCATGACCTGCAGTTCAAAATTTAATTGATAAATTAGTATTTATATTTTTTCGATAAATTAAATATATTACGGGTAGTTTGGTTAGTTAGGTCAGCTTCACTGAGAGGTATTAATAATAAGCCTAAAAATTTGGGCAAACACGATTTTCTGTAATAAACAATAAAGCCGAAATAAAATATATATTCCTAGGTACGTCTCTGTAATATGTTTATACTAACCTATGGAAAGTTTTTCCTGTTGTATTCTTTTTATCCACTTCACTCCGAGTTTTACAACTCCGTAGAGCACAAGACACCATAATAATATTCTTCAATTTGTGCAAACAATATCACAAAAGCTTCTGAATTTCAAAAATAAGTACAATTAACTGCAACGTATTCAAAAACAACTATACTATAACTATCTAAAACTGTAATGACTCATCGATGTTCACGTGAACATCACTTAACTACCAGTAGTCGGCTGTTCATAGGCGGGGTATGAATGTTTAACATGGGTGTACTAGATTTGTCACATGCTTAATAAAGAGTGGTTTGAAACATATTGTAAGTCAAAAATTTGGGAATTACCTTTATTCATCGTCGCTTCCACTTACATCTGACAGTAATAAACTGTCGCTATCGCTTTCCTCGTTGAAATTGACTATAACTGGATCTATGATGGTGTCGATGTGGTGGTCAAGCTGCCACATTTTTGTTTCTTCCTTCACAACAAGACGGATAGCATTCTGCCAAGCTTCGGGCGTTACTAGCTGTATGGAAGTCTCAAGTAAAACCTTAACGTCTGGTAATTTGAAGGTTGTGTTATGGCGCGCAATATAACCCTTCACTTGAGCCCAGATGAGCTCTATTGGGTTCAGTTCACAGTGGTAGGGCGGTAACCGCAGCACAGTGACGGGCCATCTCATCAGTCACGTAACTAATGTTCGCAGGTTTGTGCGGTTTAATTTTTTCATACAATTCCGCTTTCACACATGAATCGTCAAACGGGATTCCTTTTTCGCGCAACCATTGCTGCATGTCACTTTTTCGAGATCCCATAGTCGGTACACGTTCGGCTCGACGACTATGGTAGGAAGCATTATCCATGACGATCACAGAGTTGGGTTCAACTCGCTGAAGCACCCCTTGAAACCAGCTCTCGAAGCAGCTGGCATTCATTTCGTCATGGTAATCACCTCCTTTCTTAGAGACGAAAATCAAATCACACTCTTCTAAAAAGCTACTATCGCTACCAATATGAGTTACGATCAATCTTTGACCTTTCCCTGACGGTCCACGAAGACCTGTTGACAAACCTTCAATGCTTGTTTGTCGGTTACTCACTACGTTTTTGTCTATCCAGGTTTTTTTAACTGTGTGACCTGCATTTACCCATGTCTCGTCCAAATAATAGATTTTTCTGCTTTGTCGCCTATATTCAATCATGTCGCGTAGGTATTTTCGACGCCAGGCGACTATTTCAGGTCTCTCTAACAATACTGACTTCCGATTATGCATTTCGTAACGAAAATTAATTTCGTGCAGGGATTTCCTCATTACCTCGACGCTCATTTGGGGTATAATTTCATTTTCCTTGATCGCTGCATGTACAGCCTTGAGGGTTGGTATCTCATTCCTAAAGAAGAATGAATGTACGGTTCGCCTTAACGCCATTTTGCTATCGTCATCCAATTTAACGGCCTTTCGTCCCTTCAAATTAAACTTTGGATCAGTAGTAGCTCCAGTTTTCTTCTTTTCATGCACCACCCTGCGAATGGTATACTCTGGAACGCCTGTCATACTTTCACAACGCGCGAGTGCATCTCCCTGCGACATAGTTCTGTTCAGATAATTGAACACGTTCAGCACGATTTCTTTCGCGTCCCTCTTCAGTGCTTTACGAAGCCGTCTACTTGTTTCCTGGCTTTCAGTACTTCCACTCGTGCCATTTGTACTCTCCATGGTTAAGTATAACCAAAACAGTAACCACAGAAACCACAACAATAACAATCACACAACAATTCTTATAAAAACACACAATATGCGATCGCTCAACGAAACACGTTCCAATGCGTTGCCGACGCCTATGAGTCTGCCGGTCGAGGCGCGTCTTTGATTTCATTGGTTCTACCGGCGGAGAACAATCAGCCATTATTTCCATCTCTGTCTGTGCTGTTGACCACCGCAAAGCCACAGAAACGACATATGTATGTCGTACGCTATACGGCTGTACTGGAAGGAAGCCGGGATCGAGCTCTGATCACGTGTTGATCACGCGTATGAGTCATTACAGTTTTAAATAGTTGTAGTATAGCACAGCGCACTTTGACAGAAGTCAGTCATCAATATGGCGTACCCGGTGTCGCTCAAAGTCACGTGATTTCGTCTCCTCTTTTATTACATCTCGATGGTTTTTAGTACTTCTTCAGGGATCGTGTTTTTTCAGACATTGGAGGACCATATGAATCTGCAGAAATGCTGCATATAAAAAAGTTGGAGGGGGTACATCTCGTATTTAATTTGGAGGCGGGCAGCTTGCTGCCTCTAGCAATAAGGTAAGCAAACGTTAAATATTTCTGAGCTATTCCTGCATTTATTCCATATCATAAATATAGATATTCTTGGCAATACATTTTTGGGATGAACAAATTACCTTGTGATACACTTTCAACATGAAGCTAGGTGGAAATAATTTAGATATAATTTATTGACAATTTCACTAGTACAATTTTGGAAAAAATAGTTTTTACAAAGTTTACAAAACTAAATCTGTAATTGAGTCAGATAAAACGTCTTTATCTTTAGACTAAGTTAAATAATACATTCATTTTTGGCTATCCTGGAGTCTTAATGATGACTGTCGAAATCTTGAGTTGCATGTTAAAAGAGTAAATTTTGCATAATTTGCCGATTTCCTCAAAGACGAGTCTTCCACAAGACTAGCGACGGCAGTACAAGCAACCGTTGTATTTGATATCTCTCCAAACACCCTATATATTTTCTTAAGTTCACCTTTCATCTAATTTGCTATTTCCGAACATTTGCGTATTTTATAGAGGCAGAGTGAAGCATGGACGTCACTTCACCTTCAAGTCTGTGCTCGGCGATACCGCTATTACTCTTGTGGCTCATTCAGTGACTGGAACACTTGTAGACTCGGAGCATCCATTTGTAGCACAAGGACCGTGGTTACAAGTAAGTTTTACTTTTTCAATGGTTTGCATACGACTTAGCCTTTTCTTTGTACCAATATAGATTGAATATTGAAATTTCGTATTAAAGGTCTTGATACCCGATGACTTGGCGCAAGACATGGCGGTAACATTCCAGGTGTTGGCTAGCCCAGAAGCCTTGGCTCTGCCCAAGACATTTTCATGGCCTGACAGAAGATTATCCGTAACTATTATCGCTGACAAGGTTTAAAAGACTGATATCCTCATAGAACATTAAATAACTTAGTTTTCCCTCCAGGCTATGTGGAAAACGACAGTAATATAATAATACTATTTTTTCAATTTTTAGAGAATTGAATTGGAAATATTTATTCCTACAAGCATGTGATTTCCTTCAGTTTTTTTATTTCTTTGTGTATAAAGTTGTTCAGACATACATCAATCTTCCCGTTGTTTAATGTTCTGTGATATTACATTTTCTAATTTATTTATTATTAAATATATTTATGTTTCTAACGTTTATGTAAAAGTGATCAATTTGTCATATGAGCAACATATAATTATATAGAGGCTTAGTAAGTATTTCATATAAGATATAGACCAGGACATCTACTCGTAGAATTGCAGAAAAAATGTGTAGACGCATTTTACAGCGGAATTCCATTCTTAACGGTTTCTCATCAAGGGATAGAAAAATGAAAACTATGAATATATTGGCATAAGTGGTTGGCATCGTTGTAGATATTAAAAGCACCTTTAAAATGAGACTGTACATGCTCAATTTGTTGTTGCGATAAATGACCGATTTTCAAATTGATGTTCTATCCAAAAGTGCATTTCCCATTTTCCAATTTTAAAAAGTATCTCTTCCTGGTCGGGAGGATTAACGGAATATTTTTTAACAACCACTAAAGGACATACGTATTCGGTGCGAGCCTTTTTTATTACCCCCAGTGTAACATTTCTTCATTCTGATCCTTTACCGCCGGTCTATAAATAAATAGTACCGGATATGATGGGCAGTGGAATGTTCCTTGTTTAACATATCAATGTTATGGATATAACCAAACGCTTTGCCTGGGCTACTTTGTCATCGTCCCCGGTACACGCCCTCGCTACCACTCTGGCAACATCTTCCGTACCGTATGTATCTTGAATTGTAATGGTTAATCAAAGCTGTTTTTGACCTCCTACAGCCACATTCGTAACTGGAAAAACAGTTACGGAAATTTGGCTAGAAATCTTATCAAGAAAATCGCTCGATATGGCTGTAATTTCACTACCACTATACAACAACTATTTAAAACTGTAATGACTCATACGCGTGATCAACACGTGATCAGAGCTCGATCCCGGCTTCCTTCCAGTACAGCCGTATAGCGTACGACATATGTCGTTTCTGTGGCTTTGCGGTGGTCAACAGCACAGACAGAGATGGAAATAATGGCTGATTGTTCTCCGCCGGTAGAACCAATGAAATCAAAGACGCGCCTCGACCGGCAGACTCATAGGCGTCGGAAACGCATTGGAACGTGTTTCGTTGAGCGATCGCATATTGTGTGTTTTTATAAGAATTGTTGTGTGATTGTTATTGTTGTGGTTTCTGTGGTTACTGTTTTGGTTATACTTAACCATGGAGAGTACAAATGGCACGAGTGTAAGTACTGAAAGCCAGGGAACAAGTAGACGGCTTCGCAAAGCACTGAAGAGGGACGCGAAAGAAATCGTGCTCAACGTGTTCAATTATCTGAACAGAACTATGTCGCAGGGAGATGCACTCGCGCGTTGTGAAAGTATGACAGACGTTCCAGAGTGAACCATTCGCAGGGTGGTGCATGAAAAGAAGAGAACTGGAGCTACTACTGATCCAAAGTTGAATTTGAAGGGACGAAAGGCCGTTAAATTGGATGACGATAGCAAAATGGCGTTAAGGCGAACCGTACATTCATTCTTCTTTAGGAATGAGATACCAACCCTCAAGGCTGTACATGCAGCGATCAAGGAAAATGAAATTATACCCCAAATGAGCGTCGAGGTAATGAGGAAATCCCTGTACGAAATTAATTTTCGTTACGAAACGCGTAATCGGAAGTCAGTATTGACAGAGAGACCTGAAATAGTCGCCTGGCGTCGAAAATACCTACGCGAAATGATTGAATATAGGCGACAAAGCAGAAAAATCTATTATTTGGACGAGACATGGGTAAATGCAGGTCACACAGTTAAAAAAACCTGGATAGACAAAAACGTAGTGAGTAACCGACAAGCAAGCATTGAAGGTTTGTCAACAGGTCTTCGTGGACCGTCAGGGAAAGGTCAAAGATTGATCGTAACTCATATTGGTAGCGATAGTGGCTTTTTAGAAGAGTGTGACTTGATTTTCGTCTCTAAGAAAGGAGGTGATTACCATGACGAAATGAATGCCAGCTGCTTCGAGAGCTGGTTTCAAGGGGTGCTTCAGCGAGTTGAGCCCAACTCTGTGATCGTCATGGATAATGCTTCCTACCATAGTCGTCGAGCCGAACGTGTACCGACTATGGGATCTCGAAAAAGTGACATGCAGCAATGGTTGCGCGAAAAAGGAATCCCGTTTGACGATTCATGTGTGAAAGCGGAATTGTATGAAAAAATTAAACAGCACAAACCTGCAAACATTAGTTACGTGACTGATGAGATGGCCCGTCAATGTGGTGTCACTGTGCTGCGGTTACCGCCCTACCACTGTGAACTGAACCCAATAGAGCTCATCTGGGCTCAAGTGAAGGGTTATATTGCGCGCCATAACACAACCTTCAAATTACCAGACGTTAAGGTTTTACCTGAGACTTCCATACAGCTAGTAACAACCGAAGCTTGGCAGAATGCTATCCGTCATGTTGTGAAGCAAGAAACAAAAATGTCGCAGCTTGACCACCACATCGACACCATCATAGAGCCAGTTATAGTCAATTTCAACGAGGAAAGCGATAGCGACAGTTTATTACTGTCAGATGTAAGTGGAAGCGACGATGAATAAAGGTAATTCCCAAATTTTTGACTTACAATATGTTTCAAACCACTCTTTATTAAGCATGTGACAAATCTAGTTCACCCATGTTAAACATTCATACCCCGCCTATGAACAGCCGACTACTGGTAGTTAAGTGATGTTCACGTGAACATCGATGAGTCATTACAGTTTTAGATAGTTATAGTATATCTATAAATGCTTCGGCTTCAATATCAGAAATTTGGACATTGATGATGGGTAATGGCATATCCGGATTATCAGTTGCCTCCTCGAATTCACCATCAGAATCACTTATAATATTTTTGGGATCTTGGTCTCTCGGATTTCGATAGGGATGCGACTCCGCATTTGAATTAGAATTTCTATTAGGCTGATTTTGCCACGGAGTATGTCGCTTAGGGCGTAGGTATTTGCTCTTGATTAGTTGACGGAGTGTCAGGATGAGTATAATTTTGGAAAGTAGTCTCTTTTATTGCGGCATTGCCCTTGAGGCACGGTAAAACAAGGCTGATTTTAAACGTTTCTGGACCTCCAGATTCAGCGATAAGCTTTTTGATTTTAAAGGGTGGGCCATCCGTTGGTTTCTTTTTTAAACTGGTACTAAAGCTACACTCTTCAATAAAATGTAACACTCGATACTTTATTCAAAAGAATACACCTTCCGATTCACTGGACAACAAATTTTAGTTTTTTAATTGTATCTTGTGGGAAAAGTGCACTTCTTTGTTAATTTTGGGGCGCTGAATCCAAAAATGACAACGAAATAAAAAAATGAGTTGCGGTTTAGAAAAAAACTTTTTATTTTTAAGGATATATTAAAAAAAGTAACAAGATTCATATACTTATAAGAATCACCATCTTTTTGCTGTTCTTTTATGGATCGTTTCTGGAGCATCTCTACCAAGAGTCCAACAGTAGTCTGCAAGCATGGAAGGATTCCACTTTCCCTGGTACCTTTTTTCCATTGTTGAAATATCCTGATGAAAACGTTCGCCGTGCTCATCACTTACGGCTCCGCAATTGTCAGGAAAAAAGTCCAGGTGTGAGTGTAGGAAATGTATCTTAAGAGACATATTACAGCCCATCTTTTGATACGATGACAGCATATTTTTGACAAGGGTTTTATAGTTGTCAGCTTTTCTATTTCCCAAGAAATTAGTGACCACCAGACGGAAATCATTCCAAGCAGTTTTTTCAATACCTGTTAAAGTGTTTTCAAACTGTGTATCTTTTAAAATATTTCGAATCTGTGGCCCAACAAAAATACCTTCTTTAACCTTTGCCTCACTTAGTCTTGGAAATTTCTGACGCAGGTATTGAAAAGCTGACCCATCTCTATCTAATGCCTTGACAAAGTTTTTCATTAGGCCCAACTTGATATGCAGTGGTGGTAATAATTTTTTTTTCGAATCTACTAATGGCATATGCTGTACATTTTTTTGACCTGGCTCTAGGAATTGACGAACAGGCCAGTTTTGTCTGGTGTAATGAAGTGTCTTTGCCCGACTGTCCCATTCACACAAAAAATAGCAAAACTTTGTGTAGCCTAGCTGCAGCCCAAGTAAAAGTGCCACAACTTTCAAATCGCCACAAATATGCCATTGGTGCTCACCGTATTTTATGCATGTCAATAGGTACTTCATATTGTCATATGATTCTTTCATGTGAACTGCATTAACTACAGGAAGAGATGGTAAAATATTTCCAATATGCAATAACACAGCCTTTAAACTCAATGTTGAACTGTCTATAAACAGTCTCCATTCTTCTGGGTTATAGTTTATATTTAAAGCCGCCAGTAAGCCGCTAATGTTACTGCAGAAAACCAAGTTATTCTCCATATTGAAAAATGGTTCTGTCTTTGTGGCGTTTACGAAAAACACATACCGAAACATCGTCTTCTAACAAGTTCCACTGCTGCAGTCTTGATCCAAGTAACTCTGCCTTACATTTTGGAAGTTCTAAATCTCTTACAAGATCATTTAATTCTGACTGTGTTATTTTGTGCGGTTGGTGGCATGACGTGCTCCGTATAAAATCAGGATCTCTTGACGTTGATGGCATATCTTCTTCCTGACGAATCACTCGATCGCCATGATCTGATTCGTTTTCTGATTCGCAAGTGTAGGATTCTGGGGGTTTTGGAATAGGATTTTCGTCACTGTGAGGCACAGGTCTTATCGCAGATGGTATGTTTGGGTAGTTAATAACCGATTTTTTTTTCTTGGACATACCTGTGGCTTGTCCAACACAAGGTACCATACAAAAGTAACAATCATTAATATGATTTGTAGGCTCTCTCCAAACCATTGGGACAGCAAAGCGCATAGACCGTTTTTTGCCGTTTAACCAGCTCCTCAGACTTGAAGCACATGTATTACAGCAGATGTGGGGTGCCCACTGTTTGTCTTGATCACCTAGTTTACAACCGAAATAAAGCTATGCCTTTGTTATTAGTGGAGTAATAGACCGTCTCTGAGACGCAAAAGTCACCACACACGTAACAAAACTGATCTGGATTGTTTACACACTTTCGAGACATCTTGCATGAACGCTGTCAGCCAACTGAGGAAAAAATGGCTAATATAAATATAATGTACACGTATGTATAACGTAACACAATCATGCCGATTACATCATCTTTCCTTGCCGAATATAAAAATGTAGCACGTGCATTCTTGTGAATTACAGTATATTAACACTGTCACAGCAGGAACACATATAATTACCGTATCTCTAAAACTTGAACTAATATTGAAAAAATAAGTTTCATTCCGGCTTTAGCACATTAAAAATAGTAATATTTTGTTGATTTTATTTAGGATATTTTTTGGCTGTTGATCAGTGTTATTTATGAAAAACAATTTCAGTTAAATGGCTGCCGCGGCTGGCCTGGCAGTAAGGTATCTGCGGGTAATAAGGCCTAGCTAAAGAAAAATATTCAGAAAATGAACAACACATCTAGTTCGTTTTGAACTTTTATTGGTAATATGTCCAGCAATGCCAAACAACTGTTTATAAACTTAAAAGTAACATATTTTCTACTACTTATAAAATAAAACAAAAAATTCAAGAACAGTGCAACTAGGCCTTATTAAAATAAGGCCTATCACTAAAACAACATAAAAATTGATTATTAAAGTAGAAATATTTGGTATTTGAGATCAAACTTAAACACACTATCACTGATAACAAAAATAGATGCCTATGGTGTGAGATAGGATTTTAACTACAATCGGGGCACTCAAAAGTATCAGGGTCTTCTTGTATCAACCGAACAGACTCTTCATGATACCTCATCCTCATCAGACCATTTAGCTTATTTTTGGATATGACGACCTTCAGTTGTTCGTGGCACTTTTCTTGAACTTGATGCTTTGGAAGAGGGATTAGGCGCATTCTCATTGGCTACAGCCTCGATTGCTGGTTGAGCTACAGCTGACAATATAGAAGGTGCAAACGATGTTTCCGGAATCGCCTAGGAATGAAGAGGAAATAAACCAATAGCCCTAAAGCCATTGGTGATATTGCTGTGAGTCATGCATTTGGACCAAACGTTACAGAAAATAACATTAAATCGTGCCTTTGTTAACTTTTTGTCTGGATTTTGGTCCAAAAATGATAAGAGTTCTGCATTCCAATGATGTTCGAACGAGCGGTATACAGACTTATCGAGGGGTTGTAATTCATGAGTTGTATTGGACGGCAAACAGTACAAATCGATATCTAAAGAATCTCCCATGTCGACAATTGACAAGTCCAAATGGCAAGCTGCGCCGTCAAAGATCAAAAGGCATCATGACGCATGACGCTTTTTTTTTGTTTATTTTAAGGCCATTTTATTCATATACAGCACAAACTTCAATCAATAATGTATTGCCCATTTTGATCGATGACCTTTCGCCATCTTTCAGGCAGCTTCATAATTCCTCGCTCGTAGAAGGATTTGTCTTTACCGGCAAAAAATTGAACAAGATGCTGATGTACAGCTTCATCTGAAGTAAAGCGTATTTCTCGCAAGGAATTTTGAAGCGACCGAAACAAATGAAAATCAGATGGGGCAAGATCAGGCGAGTATGCTGGATGTGGTAACACATCCCATCCTAACTCCAATAACTTTTGACGAGTGAGCAAACTTGTGTGGGGTCTCGCGTTGTCATGGTGGAACACTGGAACTCCTTTGCGATTAATGAGCTCCGGACGTTTTTGCATGATGGATTGTTGCAAACTGTCCAATTGCCGACAATACACAGTTGTATCGATGGTTTGGTTCTTTGGCAGGAGTTCGAAAAACACGATCCCTTTAAAATCCCACCAAACAGAGAGCATCACCTTTTCCTGATGACTCTCTGCTTTCGCGATCGTGTTACGCGTATCTACACTTCGGGACCAAGACCGTTTGCGAACCACATTGTTGTAAACAATCCACTTTTCATCTCCCGTTATCAAGCGCTTTAAGAAAGGATCGTTTTCCTCACGTTTAAGGAGCATATCGCAGATGTCTACACGCGCCGTCAAATGAACCTCTCTCAGTTCGTGTGGTACCCAACGATCGAGTTTGCTTACGTATCCCAGTTTCTTCAAATGGTCGTGAACGGTTGAATGATGGATTTTTAAGGTTTCTGCAATTTCCCGTGTGGTGTAATGTGGGTTTGCTCCTACCAATGCCTTTAATTCGTCACTATCCAACCCAGTAGGCCGCCCTGATCGAGGTGCGTCATGGATATCAAAATCCCCATCTCGGAATTTTTTAAACCATCTCTGGCATTGCCGTTCTTGTAGTGCATGTTCTCCATAAACCTTTCTCAACTTTTCACACGCTTGTCTTGCGTTCTTGCCTTTGCGGAAGTAATACAGCAAAATGTGACGAAAATGCACAGTTTGGTCGTCCATCTTCAACGTCCTCTAAAATCGACGAGACTCAAATAAATCACTTAATTTTTTGGTGCAAATGAAGCTTGAAGTGTCAACTGTCAAACTACACAATCAACATACAAATGTCATTGACTCACGTACTTCCAACCATGCAATTGCATACTTTGTTGCATATACGTCATGACTTTTCCGACAACCCAATATTTGGCTAGATGATTTAGGAAATCTTTAAATAATTCATTAGTCATGTAACCTTTGGCTGACTTAGCTACAAGAGTCCCTGCTGGTATATTATTATGTTGGTGGTGCACCGTCAGCCTGCAACCCTTTTCGTCCATATTGTATATTCGCTCGGGGTGGGTTTTTAGGTCCAGCTGATCGTAAAATTTACTGATTTTAGCAAAATGGTCATCCATTATAAATTTATTTAATTTTTGTGCCCTCGCGGGATTCATAAATTGGGCTTTTCGCTTGGAAATAATCGGGTTTCTCTTCATGAAAGCTGATAGCCAATCTTTGCCTGCCAGTTTTAGGTTGATATTAAAATTGTGCTTAATGTTGTTCATTTCGCAAAATTTGTAAACCAGACGACGAAGGATTCGTGGTGTTTTCGGCAAACCTATTTCAGCGAATCTAATTATTCTGCTTACCAGCTCAGATTCTTGGTCTTGGTCTTTGGACAGTATGGCTTTGCGACCGAGTGTTTTCTTTACATTGCCACTCTTAAGATGATTTCGAATCGTTCTTCGAGGGATATTATATCTTTCTGCTGCCGCATATGTGCTCAAAATATTTCTCTCTACTGCGCAAACTGCTGCCACTAGCTGTTCCTCTGACCAAAGTGCCCTTTTTCTTTTAGTAGGCATCGTACAGGTCTTTGAAAAGAATGTTGATTTGTGACAAATACACATTTTTCAGAATAGCTATAAACTCTAATAATGAACGGAATGTGATAAAAGATGCATATCTTTTCATTACTACATTTTATTATGATATATACAAAGGGAGGGTAATAAGGAATATAGTGGAATTTTATAGGCCTTATTATCCGTCACGCACCAAATTTTATAAAAAAAAATATAAAAAGTATTTTGCCCCAAATATCCGAGTCAGACCAGAAGTGATCACAGCATGCATGAAACAAGGAAACTCTCAGTGCTAAGAAAAACGATGTTAACAAAATGTACCAAAAGAAACGTACGATTTTTTCCTATGCTTTTTTACTGTTGTTACAAGGCACACTCACTTGACGAGATATGTTTCTGCACTGATGACGACCATGGAAATTAATTTGGCGCGGTCGGTGTTCAATCCAAGGTCATCTAAAGAGCGCTTGTTAACCAGTGGTGTGCCTGTAAAACAACTTGAAAGCAGTATTTTTGTTATTAGGCCTTATTACCCGCAGGTACCTTAGTCCATCCTATTAAATTTCTTTGCGTAGAAGTCTTGATTATCAAAATTTATATTAAAATCGCCCAAATGTACCGTGATGCAATTTCGATAAAAAAAAAATTCACATATATTTTCGAAAAAATCTATAAATTTGTTTATATTTCCAGTTGGAGATCTGTAGTAAATGTGTAAATTATAATTTTGCTTAAGATTCAATTCAACATTGATATACCACCATTGGTACTCAACAGCTACAATTTCATGTACTCTAGTTTCTATTTCACATAAAATATATAATGATATACCACATGTCTTACAATTTGATAGCCTTCAAAACCAATTTCTTCATCGTCAATATCCCCTGTGAGATGTGTTTCAGTGAAACACAGCATTACCAGCTTCACTGACATCAAGTAATGTAAAACCACATCTTTTTTAGATAGCAATCCTTGAATATTTAAATGGTAAATATAGTTTGCGTATTCTTTTATCTGTAATTGCTATGGTTTATCACTGTAATACGCTTTGGCTTGTGTATTTTTATGTTCCACTTGGGCTATGCTGCAAATTTTATTATAGGGTGAATGGTGTATCTCGAAATTTGTTTTATATTTTGAATTAGATTCTTTACAATTTCGACAAGTTCTTTCATTTTCTGGTATTTCACAGTTCTGCGGTTGATGTCCACTTCTACAACATTTCAAACAAATACCATTCTTGGAGCAATTCTTTGCAGTATGGTGGAAACCAGCACAATTGGAACATCTTAGGAGGTTATAATGTTCAAAAATTGCACACACATCCATAGATATAAAAAGTACACCTTCTGTCATAACTTCACTAAATGTAGTCTCATATAGTTCCAAGATACCCTGTTGTTGTTTCATTTTTTTAATCATCACCACTCTTATTATTGAATTAGGTCTAATAACTCTGTTTCTTTTTTTTATGTCCTTAATCAGTTCTTCTTTACCCATTTCTTCACTAAAACCGACGACTTTAATCATAGGTAATTTCTTTCGACCCACGTTAACTTCATAATTTTGTCCAATGTTTTTTTCCACTTCTATTTTCAATTTAGAGACATCTTCATTATTCTTACATACAATTTTCACAGCTCCATCTTTCAAATCGGTAATTTTTGTTATAGAAACGTTCATTCTGGCGGGGTTAATGTATTTGCTCAATACTTTCTTGGTTTGAAGGCAATTTTGATTTCCAGTAACTGGTTTTATAACAATTGTATTTTGTAGTTCAGGTAGAGAAACAAACACATATTATTGGATTGCTTAAATGCCATTGTTGGTTCTTTACTTGGATCAATATTTCGTCCATTTTTTACAACATCACTAAACGATAGGGATGCTCTAGAACACCCGCTTGTATTTGTGGTATTAAGTTAACAACTGGATGTTGCTGTCCTGTGTTTTTGGCCATATCTGCATAATATTTACATGGCTTTGTCGTTTTCGTTGTATCTTGAATTTGCCTTTGTGATGATTCAATCTTTTCATATATTTTCGTGATCAATTTTTCTTGAATTCATATTGTATACTCTTTTAATTTGAGTATTTCCTTCAAACAAAAATCTTTCTCATCCAATTTTTTCTCAGTTTCTAGTTTATCACTATCTTCCTCATGATTTGGTGTCTCAATATCTATTTTATCTTCTGGAAAATACTTGACCTACTAAATCTGACAAATGTCTGTCAAAAAGGCCTGCATCCAAAAACTCGAATAGTTCTTGCAGCTGTCATGTGTCCGACGTTGCCACCTTCTCAGCTAGTTGCGCTACCGTACTTTTTAACTCTGTCACTGATATTGCCAAATATCTAACTAAAGACTCAAGGTCCTCCTGCACCTCCTTTGTACTCTCTGCCCTGCCTCTCCACGACTTTCTGCTAGACATTTCTACAGCTTACCTAAACGACAAATCGTTACAATCCTACAGTAAAGTAAAATAAGAAATAAAAGCTTTTTACAATGACTATTTCGACACAGTAAATAACCGTTTATAACCCCCCTCTGCTCCTCCAGCTATCTCTTAACGCCTCACTGCGTCTCTGCTACCGCCTCGGTGCTCGTACAGAACCCCCCAGCAGCATATACACCCTCAGCTCTCCCAAAGTGAAAACGACTTTTCTCACCCAGATCTGCTTACTCCTCTTACAACCGGCAACACCGCCTGGTTCGTGCCGCTTGTACACAGTAGGGTTGTTGAGGAAGTGATTATGAGGAAGAGGAGGAGGAAGAGGAATTGTCACGCGCAAATTTAGAGGATGCGGATGAGGAAGAGGATATTTTTTGAGGAAGAGGAAGCGGATGAGGAAGCGGATGAGGAAGAGGAAATTATAAATATTAGCGGACCCAACCCAAAAGCAGCTGTTCTGTCTGTACATAACTAGGTACATATGTACATACACAAAATTAATCAAAAGGGCATTTTTCAGTGGACCAAACTATGAATCTAAACCATTCTCAAAAGACACGCAATAAAGAATCATCAAAATCGGTCCAGCAGTTTAGGAGGAGTTCGGTAACATACACAACACACGTACACAAAAAACAGATGAGTGAATGATACAATTTTATTTAGGAATTGAAATGAAAATAAATATGCAGTCTTTATTTCTTTATTAATTGCTTAAGTCGAATATTAACTGTCAAAATAAAAGAACTGAATACTAATAATCAAACTTAATTATAGGGAGGTTAATTTTTATAAAAATTAATTTGGACGCTGTTTCCCCTGACAACCGGTTTCTTAGCTCAACATATACCAATCCAGCATTGCTAAAAAGTCGTTCGCTTGGGACACTTGATGGAGGAGAAGATAGGTATTGCCGTACAGCTCCGTAAAGCTCCGAATATTTCGGATTATTTTTCCACCATAGAAGACTGTCTTCATGCATATTAATTCGTTTTTCTCTAATGTAGTTATTTAATAGTAACTTCAGTACCACGGATCTATCTTCTATTGGTAAACTTTCAATTTCATCGTCACTATTTAGCTCAGAGGCTAACATTTCGGCTAACATTGAATCTACAATTTTTCCCGTGGAAGTGCTGGCTGTGGGGCAGGATGTGTCTACACTGTCTACTACAGCCCCAGAACTAGTGGATGGTTGATTGTGGACATCCATGACGACATTGTCTATTGGGCGTTGGCTGGTTGATGTTAGTACTGTTAGTAGCGCTAATTCAATACGTTCTTTAGTTATTTCATTAAAAAATTTCGTTTTGTATTTTGGATCCAAATATGTAGAGATGGCGTAGAGATTATTATTATGAAGCTCACCGAAGCGGTTGTTAATCTCTTCTATCAGTTTTTGGATGACATTTTTGCAATCTTGGTCATTACCAATGTTATCTTCTCTCAAAAAATTTTGCATTGCACATACTAAGACATGAATCAGTGGTATAACAGAGGATATACATGCCTCAGTGCTGCTCAAAGATTTAGTTACCTCTTCAAAGGGTTTCAGAATCCTCGTACAGGTTTCAAGTTTTACCCAATCACTTGGTACAAGTTGCGGCAAATTTGGGTGTTGCGATGTATATAATATGATAGCATCCTTTATCTTAATAAGTCGCTCAATCATATAAAACATGCTGTTCCACCGAGTAGCACATTCTTGGATAACTGACAGCTGAGGTAAACCTAGGCGTTCTTGAAAGTCGTTCAATTCCTTTTGTCCAGTTATAGAGTGATTGAAGTGCGTCGCAATCTGCTTACATTTAGCCAACAGCGTTGAGAAATGTTCATTAGACGCCAAAGCTGAACGTACACACAATTGTAATTGATGTAAGGTGCAATCTATATCGTCGATTTGTGAGATACGGGCAGCTCGTTTCATATTAGATCCACCGTCACGGACCATTGCATGTAGCTTTTGCCGAGGAATGTCCCATTCCTCTAGTATTTCGTCGAGTTTTTGAGCTACCAGATCGCCCGTGTGTCGTTCTTCGAGAGTGACACATTTAAGAACTAAAGACACTCTTTTGAAATCATCATTAATGCCGTGGACCGTAAAACTAAGCAGAGAAACACCAGCTCCAGGCTCTGTCCATATGTCAGTAGTGAAAGACACGTATTCCAAATCTTTTATCAAGTTTTTAATCTTTTCATAAAGTTTAGGATAAACGTAATTACACAAATGCGAAGTATAATACTGACGTTTTTTTTAGATCATATTTAGGCTGTGCGGCTTGGACAAAACGTCTAAAACCAATACCTTCAATGAAATTGAAAGGCAAATCTTGCAATGCAATCATTTCGCAGATTAATTTATCTAGCTCACGACTTTTTTCATGTGATGAATCCCAGCACTGGTGTTTCATTAATGACTCTTGTAAAGTAACTTGCCTCTTGACCAACTGAAGAGAAGTTTCTTCTGTGCACTTACGTTTCTTTTCCACTTCAGCCTTTTTCGAAGCCGCATCGCATTTTTCATACTCCGTATATTCCGTTTTA